ATGTTTAATGGTTTTGAGTTTATTGAATGTTTAACTATTTCATTCTAAATGGAAAAGTCATTGAAAGGAAGAAAGGCATTGTCTATAAATCATATGATTACAGTATTAATAACAATGAGCTGTGACTATATGGATCTCAACTTCCAAGTGTTAAACAGCAACATAAGACAAATAACTGTGAATCTGACTATCTGGCTTATTATCATGTCTCCAGCAATACCTTACAGCAGAAGTCTAGGGAAAAAGGACAGGTAGAGAGAGACATTTCTGAAAACACCCTCTTCATTTCCAGCAAATGATAGCTCATGTCTTCCCCAGTTAGAGGTGGAATCACATAATTCCCCATTTATTTCCATTATTGAGGCTAGTTTTTTTGGGGGTTTTTTTGGTTGTTTTTTGGTTTTTTTTTTGAGCCCATGCAAACTCTTGGCATACATAACATTCTGTATCAAGGGTTTCCAGTGCAGGCATGGTATTTTGGAACCTGTCCCTTGCCTGTTTCATCTGAGGGTTGTGCTGGCCCACAATCATAGCTCAACCCACTCACAGGGACCTTTATCTCCTAAGAGCTGCACTGGAGTCCAAACCTGAACCACGACTCTGAAATCTACCTGCACATGGAGATGTGGGCATCCTACTTTGAGGATCCTAAGGGACTTGCCAAGACTACATGGAGAGGCACTGCAAAAACAGGAAAACATCTCAAGAGGACTCTAGTGAAAGCACCCAAACTTTCCTTCAAATATTTTTCCAATCTTAGTGGTATGATTTGGGCTTGCCAGATAATCTACAACAGCTTGCTGGATCCCAGAGCGTCTGATCTTGTCTTTTGAGCCCATGGAGAACCAGGCTTCTGGCCAGCTAAGGAGAACAGTCCAGCCAGGCAGCCCTCTGGCCAGCCTCCCTCTGGGTGTGCTAGCTTGGACATTGATATTTCCCTGACACTAAGCTTTCCTCTTCAACATGAATTGCTCGTTACTTGAATTCCATCAGGGATTTCTTGTGTCATGAAGGAGTGGAGGCTCTGCCTGAGCACACTGAACAGGACTGGCTGCTTTCTGTGGATGAAGCTGTTGATGTGTGTGTGTGCCTGTATCTGCAGGACATAGATGTCTCAGTGTTTGCCTCTCAATGGTGCCTCTGTTCTACAACCATCTGTGTATAAAGCTGCTATTCTGCCATGAACAATGACTCATACAGGAAAGTCTCGAAGAATTAGGCAAGAACTATGTTCATCCTGAGGACTATTGAAGATGAGGATCCAATCCCATAAATTCTTGGCAAAACTCAGCCTTAGTTTTCCCTTGACAGCTTTAATTGTTAAAATCTGCTGTTGCTGATACGCATTTACAAACAGCAGGTTGGCAGCAAACTGTCTCTGTCAGTGGGCATCACACATCCACTGCTTGTCTCTGAGCCTTGCTCACTGTGACCAACTTCTCCTCACTCCATTTTTCAGCAAGGATTTTACTAGTGACTCTTCCATCTCCTATATTCTTCTGAGCCCCCACAGATTATTCTCTCCAGTCCTTTTCCTTATATTTCCAGGCTACTCTACTCCTCTGCCAACAGCAGTGGGTGAGTGGGAGACAATAGGGTCACTATTCCTGACCCCCTGCAAGCTTCACCTGGACCTGGAGCTGCCCAAAAACTCTGTGAAGGCTGTAGGGACTGTCTGGAGCAGGGATCTACATTGGTATCAAAAAAATCACAACAGTCTCTGTTTCAAATATCTAGCCAAGTTTGGGTACTCAGGAAAGAGCTGAAAGGAAGGAAATATCCAGAGGATTTTATCAGACAGTCTCCTGTAGGCAGAATGGATGCAGAAGGAAGAGTTTCTGAAGATCAGCTGAGCTTCTCTGACTGGTGGGGAAGGTTTAGTTTGTGGCACCACCGTAGAAAGAAAAGATTGCAGGGTTCTTATATTCCAGTGACCCAGAAAGGAAACTGTCTGAGGAACAAAGATTAAGATGATCAAGAAAGTTTAAAACAAATGGTGACATACTTGTAATGTAATCATAAGAAAATTCCAGGTATGTAAACCATACATACAAAAAATACACACAATAAACACAAGTTTTCAATTGGTCTAGAATTTAATTAAGAATTTTATTCTCAGATTTTGAAATTTCTCTAGGTACCAGGTCTGTGCTTCTTGACCTTTCCAGTGAATGATCAGTTCTCAAGCTGCAGAATGCAACTTCCTTCCTGCTAGATTAGTGAGTTCAGCTGAGTCAGTGGAAAACGTGCATTGGAATCCCATCTCCTACTCCAAGCAGGGCTAACTTCAAAGTTGGCTGAAGTCACTGCAGGGTCTTGACCACATGTATCCTGGAAATACCAAGGATGGAGGTGCTACAACCTCCTTGGGCAGCCTGTGCCAAGGCTGCAGCACTCTCCTGGTAAATGGGGTTCTCCCTTTGTTGAGAGAGGATTTTGCTGGCTGGCAACATGAGACCATTGCTTCTAGTCACTGTGCACTTGCAGGAAAAGCTTGGATGCATTGGAAGTCTTATCCCTCTCCTTGCAGCAGCATCTCTGCAATGAGATCCCCCAACCTTCCCTTCTGCAGGCCAAACCCACCAAATTCCCATCTCCCCTCACCCAGCACACAGTCCTGCTGATGCTGGGGCTGTGCTGGAGCCTCTCCAGCGTGTCAGCATCTCCCTTACAATGGGCTGTGTGTGTTTGAACACTGCACAGGGTGTTGCAGATGCAGCCACACCAGAGCCAGGCAGAAGGGAGTGACCACATCCCTGCACTTGCTGACCACTTGCTAATGCAGTCCCATGACTGGTGGGTGTTGCTGCTGCAGGGGAGCACTGCTGACACAGGTCCAGCTTGTTTTCCAGGAGAATCCCAAGGCCTTTACTGCAGGGATGCACTCTACTGTCAATCCCCAGTCTGCCCTAATACATGGAGTTGTTTTGTCCTAGGTTAAAACAAATAAAGAGGTTGTATTTTTCACAGAACAGATATATGAGGTGGATTAGAGCAAATTTATCATGTGATTGAAAAGGGTCAAACCCTGAGTCCTCTTGTGCTGAATGTGATGCTAACACAAGTACAGGTCAACAGTGGCACCCAGGAGCAGCATTTCAACCTGAGAAATTGGGGTTTTCTGCAGAAAGTTCTGATGTCAGTCACAGACTTAAGCAAAGGGGTTGTTAACTCTCAGCACAAATTACCCTTTTCCTACAGGCTTGAAAGACAATCTTGTAGGCCACTGGAATGAATCCCACTTCTATCCATTCCCCCAGGAGCTCAAAGGAGGAGCAGGCACCATGCCTAGAGGGGATGAGCTCCGTGTGTGCATGGTGTGGTTTTAAATCAGCATTTTAATCCTACTGTTGGTTAAAAATCCTCCTTGCAGATAGGCAAACTAGCAGGAATTATCCTTTGGATACATTAAGATAGGATGCAGCTCCATCTTCCTTAATCAGCTACTTTTTACTGTTCTGAAATAACGAGTCTTGCCCTTGTTTTTTTATTTCCTACTAGAGGAGATATTTATATTTCATGTCACTTCTGGTTTGACTAAATGAAAAATAGCATATTACTTGTTCTCAAACAAATAAATCAGTTCATTTCATAAACCTAGCAGTTATCCCATTTCAACTTCCTTCCAGCTTTCCACACTTTTTTTGAGGGACAAGCAAAGGACTCAGAGGGCTCTGTGGATCTCATGGCAACTACAAAGCACATCAGGAAGCTTCTGGGAATGCAAAGCATTATTCAGACAAAGGCTTTTCTTTCAGCTTTATAAATGTGTTTTCAGCCATCTCATAACAGAGCAAAAAATAGCCCCAAGAACACTCCTGGCAGAACGAAACTCCCATGCAAGAGCTGTTTCTCATTCTTTCAGTTTTTTCTTCCTTTATGTACAAACAGGCTCGTGTTTAACAAAAAGATAAACCCTGCTAATCTACTGATTTGTCAGCTAGCCCCGTGGTTATCCCAGCAGTGTTTGTTGGCCAGGGCAGAGGCAGTGCTGATGTGCACAGCTGTGTAGAGAGAACAGCAGTGTGTGTCATGTGAGAGCGTGGGCAGGAGCTGCCACTTCGGGGCTCGTGGAAACCCAGGGCACTGGGAATATTTCTCTGTCTGTTCTGGGGTGTTTGACCCTCATTCATGGAGAAAACTTCCAAAGCCTCAAGGTAAACTAGAAACCACAAAAGTGTGAAATAGATTGTAGAGAGTAAGTAAGTAGTGTAGTATGTCCCATGGGTGAGAAATTTAGGTTTTAGGATTTTTAATATGTTATAGAGGGTTCAAGATGGAGGATATAGGGTGTTGTCTTGAGTTCCCTTCTTCTTTCTTCTTATTTCTTCTTCCTTCGTGGGTTTAGGTGGTATCTTATAATTGGGCAGAAAAATCTGCATTGCGGGTCTTTAGGGGTCAGTTATTGCGTTAGAAAGGAAAATAATTTAGGTGTCACTTCTTAATTGGGTATCTTAGTTTTTGATTAGGCTTAAAAGGCCTTGTAACAAAGAAATTGTTGGCCATTTTTATGCTGTTTTTCCTGCACGCAGAGCCTGCTGCAGACAGTGTGCTGAAGTTTTGATAAGATAACAATAAACAGAGCCTGAAGACTGAAAAAGTCCAATGCATCTCTGGTTCCTGAACACAGAACTGCTCCAGGAGGGGCTCCCCTGGCAGGGGAGTCCCCAGGGAGTCGGGGCCCACGAACTCACAGGGGGTGGACACAGCAACTGCTCCAGTCACGGGCTGCTGTGTTTGTGCTCAGGCTGTCCACCTCCATCTCCGAGCACAGTGCCTGCCCTGCTGCAGGACGGGCCAGCCAGAGCCTGGGTGGCAGGTAGCCATGGAGCTGGGGGATGGAACAATGAGAGGATTTTTGTCAGCTTGACAGACAGACCATTGCTCCATGGCAGGGCACTGTCCAAGGGGCGTCAGCAAACATCGTGCCAGGGAGTTTTGACTGGCACAAAGAAGCCCAAATGTGAACGGGAGGATGAATGGCCAGTCAGGAGGCATGGTTAACAGCCAGCTGTGATGACAGGGTATAAACACAGGATGGAGATGACAGAAGCCTGAATGGAAAACAATGTATGGGAGCAATTTAAGCAGATAAATACACAGAAGAGAAGGAATGATACAGGAGGAAGGGACACAGAGTGCTGGATGTGCATGGGAGGAGGCAGGAGCCTTGGCTGGGGTGACCAGCAGGTGTGGGGTGATGGCACTGGGAAAGAGGAGCCAGAGCCACTGGCTGTCCCCTGGGCCACCCGGCTGAGCACAGCCCGGGAGCAGAGCCCAGGATGAGCACGGCCAGCGGAGGATCCACG